CATTTTTTGTCTTTTCTCCTTTCAGCACTTTGAATATATCATGCCACTCATTTCTGGCCCACAAAGGTTCTGCTGAGAAATTGGCTAATAGCCTTTGGTGTTTCCCCTGTGTGTAACTTTTTACTTTTTTCTTACTGATTTTTAAATTTGTTCTTTATCTTTAACCTTTGACATTTTAGTTATTATGTGTCATGGTATGCACCTTCTTGGGCCATCTTTTTTGGAATTCTCTATGCTTCAGGAACCTGCATGTCTCTTCTTTCATAGGTAAGGGAATTTTTCATCTCTTATTTTTAAATTATTTTTAATGTTTTATTTATTTCTAGGAGAGAGAGAGAGAGAGCGTGAGCAGGGGAGGGTCAGAGAGAGAGGGAGTCACAGACTCCGAAACAGGCTCCAGGCTCTGAGCTGGCAGTCAGCACAGAGCCCGATGTGGGGCTCGAACCCACGAACTGCGAGATCATGACCTAAGCGAAAGTCGGATGCTTAACCAACTAAGCCACCCAGGCGCCCCTCATCTCTTATTTTTAAAATAAGTTATATGCCTTTTCTTTTTGAGACTTGTATAATGTATAATGTGAATGTTCGTTTGGTCTTGTATAAGAGATCCCCTAATTATCCTTATTTATTAAAATTATTATTATATTTTTGCTGTTTAGCACAGGTATTTCATTATTCTGTCTTCCAGATCACAAATCTGTTTTTCTACATCTTCTAATGTATTGTTGTTTCCCTGTAATATAATTTCCATTTCATTTAGTGTATTTCTCGGCTCTGGTTATTTTTTTTATATTTTCTATCTGTCAAAATTCTAAGTTTTTTCCACTCTTCTCTTCAGTCCAGTAAGCGTTTTTATGATCATTACTTGAATTCTTTATCAATCATATTGCTTATCTGTTCCATTTAGTTCTTTTTCTGAGGTTTTGTTTTGTTCTTTCATTTAGAGCATGTTTCTCTGTCTCATTTTGCTTGACTTTCTGAGTTTGTTTCTATGAATTAGGTGATACAGCTGATTCTCCTAAATTTGAAGGAATGGTCTTGTATATGGTCATCCTCTGTGTAGACTGTGTATGCCTAGTGACTTTGGCTGGATGGCTGGAGCTGTGTCTGGGGTGGGTTGGGGTGTCTGGGGCACTATGTATTGGAGCCGACCTGGTATGATGGCCGCAGCTAAAGTGGGCATATGTTGGGGTGGTCTCAGGGCTCCTTGTGTAGAAGGCACCCTGGCAGGACAGCTGAAGGTGAAGTGCATGCTAGCCAGAGTGTCTTGGCACTCTGTGTAGAGGATGCCTTGGTAGGACCGCTAAAGCTGAAGTGGTTGTGGGCCAGTGCAGTCCCTGGCTTCTCTGCCAGAAGGCACTTGGACAGGATAGCTGAAGTTGAAGTGGGTGGAAACCACAGTGTCCCAGGGCGTGCTGCATACAGTGTGTCCTGTTTGGGCAGCTGGAACGAAAGCAGGGCCCAGGCCAGCGTTTCCCATTGTGCTACATGCATGGGACACCCGGGCACCCTGGCATGATAGTTGTAGCTGAAGTGCACACAGGCTGTGGCATTTCTCAGGGCTCTTCACGTAGGAGGGAGGTGGTTGAAGCTGGAGTGGGTGCAAATCAGGATGTCCCAGGATACTCATCACAGAGGGTTCCCAGGTAGGGTGACAAGAGCTGAGGCTTGTAGAGGTTGGAGTGTCCTGGATGCTCATGCAGAGGCTGCCCTGGCAAGGTGGCTGGAACCTTGGCAAGTTGGGGACAGTGGTTTCCTGAGGTGTTCCTTTGTGCTTTTAGCAGGTGTTTCAAACTGATGTGGGCATGGGCTGGGGATTCCTGGGACACTGTGGAGGGGGCACCTTGGATGGATGGATGGATGGATGGAGCCTTAAGCAGGTGTGAGCCAGGAGGTCTTAGAGCACTCTGCCCTGGGGGGTGCCCTAACAAGCTGCCTGGAGCTAAAGTGGTGCAGGCCTGGAGTGCTCTGGGGTGCTTTACACCTGTATCACCTAGACAGTATGGCTGGAGTTGTAAGCAAGTGCTGACATACATGGACCTTGTGTGTGCTGCTCTGAGGTTGTTTTGGTGGGATGGCTGGGGCTGGTGTGGGCTAGGGCCCCGTGGCTCACTGAAGGAATAGGCCTCCTGAGGTGCCCACATCCACGCTGCCAGGATGGAAACTGAATGTAAACTGTGATGCTCTGCAGCCTCTCCATTTTGGAGAGTTCCAGTAGTTCCCTTGCTGTTTGATGGAATTCTGTGGCTGGGTAGTTTACATACTAGCTTCTCTTTTCAAACCCCGATATTTTCTTCTGTGACTCAGGCTGATGTGGGCCAGGGACTTGGTGTGTGCTGATGTGGTAAGCTGGCTCTGGCGCCTGGACCCTTCTCCTATGTGGACTCTCAAGGTGGAGGATGTGCATAAATGTTAGACTTGCCAGCCTCTCCTACTTGAAGATAGTTCCAGTAGCTTCCCACCATTCAGCAGGGGTCTAGGGCTGGTTCCTTTATATTGTAGTTGCCCTTTTAAACCATGACTTTTTTTTTTTCCTGTGCCCTAGGGCAGATGAATCTGCTCGAGGTCAGTCAGTACCATCCCTTATGAAGTTGACACCATCAGAGGTTGGGTTTCCTTGTTACCATGTCTTTATCTCTCTTGCCTTTCTTGAAGTGGCTTATCTTTTGTTTTGTAGAAGTTGTTCAGCCAGCCCTCAGTTCTTCTTCAGGAGGAATTATTCTGTACATAGGCATAGAATTGGTGTGTTCATGGAGGACGTAAGTTTAGGGTTTCCCTACGTCACTGGGTTACAGGGCTGGTTCAACATTCGCAAATCAATCAGTGTGATACATCATATCAATAAAAGAAAAGATAAAAACCATATGATCCTGTCAATAGATGCAGAAAAAGCATTTGACAAAATACAGCATCCCTTCTTAATAAAGACTCTCGAGAAAGTTGGGATAGAAGGAACCTACTTAAACATCATCAAAGCCATCTATGAGAAGCCTTCAGCTAACATCATCCTCAACGGGGAAAAACTGAGAGCTTTCCCCCTGAGATCAGGAACACGACAGGGATGTCCACTCTCACCACTGTTGTTTAACATAGTGCTGGAAGTCCTAGCATCAGCCATCAGACAACAAAAGGAAATCAAAGGCATCAGAATTGGCAAAGAGGAAGTCAAACTTTCACTCTTCGCAGATGACATGATACTCTACATAGAAAACCCGACAGACTCCACCAGAAGCCTACTAGAACTGATCCAAGAATTCAGCCAAGTTGCAGGGTACAAAATCAACGTACAGAAATCGGTTGCATTTTTATACACCAATAATGAAGCAACAGAAAGAGAAATCAAGAAACTGATCCCATTCACAATTGCACAAAAAACCATAAAATACTTCGGAATAAACCTAACCAAGGACACAAGAGATCTGTATGATGAAAACTATAGAAAACTTATGAAGGAAATTGAAGAAGACACAAAGAAATGTCTTGGACTGGAACCGAATTTTAATTTATATTTCTTATTTCACCTTTTCCTTTTGTCTTATTCAAATGAGGTGATTTCCACTGTTAAATAAAATTGGCAATAATAGGCATATTTGTGTCTTTGGTGGTCTTGGAGGGAAAGCTCTCAACATGTTACCTTAAGTATGATATTTGCTGAAGGTTTTTGGTAAAAACTTTCATCATGTGAATTAAGTTCTCTCCTATTTTTCCTATGTTAGGTAGCTTTTGTTCTAAATGAGTTTTGAATTTTATCAGATTCTTTTTCCCCAATGGTGAGATGACTGTATGACTTCTTATTTTTGAGAATTACAGTGATTTTTCACAGTGCATTTTTTAACAGCTTAATTGAGATATAATTCGCATACCATAAAATTCACTCATTTTGCAATTCTGTGAGTTTTTATATATTCATAGAGTTTTGGAACCATCATTGCAGTCTAATTTTAGAACATTTTCATCACTCTAAAAAGAAATCCAGTACTCATTAGCAGTTGCTCTCTGTTCTCAGCCACCCTACTCTTCCCACCCACTGTCCAGACTCTAGCCTTAGGCAGCTACTCATTTACTTTCTGTCTGAATGTATTTGCCTAGTTTGGACCTTGGCTTCTGTCACTTAGTTTAGTATTTTCAGGGTTCATTCATGTTAGCATGTATCAGGATTTCATTGGTTTTTACTGTCATATTATACTCCATTGTATGGATAGACTGTATTTTCTTTATCACTTCATCATTTGGTGGACATTCTGTTTGTTTCTCTTTTTAACTATTATGAATAATGCTGTTACGAAAATGTTTAAGCAAGTTTTTGTGTGCTTAAATGTTTTACATTTGTTTTGAGTGTATACCTAAAAGTAGAATTTACCTATCTTTTTTTCTTTTTTATTAGCCATCCTCATGAGTGTGAAGTGTCTCATTTTGGTTTTGATTTGCAGTTTTATTCCTACTAATGATGTTAAACATCTTTTGTGTGCTTACTGACCATTTATAAACATTCTTTGGAGAAATGTCTGTTCGTATATTTGCCCATTTTTAGATAGGGTTGTCTTTATATACTCTGGGTATCCGTTTTTGTCAGACATAATTTGCCAAGACTGTCTACCCTTCTTTGGGTTTTCTTCACTTCCTTGATGGTTTTATTCACAGCTGTAAAGGTTTTTATTTCTTTGTTGTTTAAGAATTACCGTTCTGGGGGCGCCTAGGTGGCTCAGTCAGTTAAGTGTCCAACTTCAGCTCAGGTCATGATCTCACAGTTCGTGGGTTTGAGCCCTGCATTGGGCTCTGTACTGACAGCTAGCTCAGAGCCTGGAGCCTGTTTCGAATTCTGTGTCTCCCTCTCTCTCTGACCCTCCCCTGCTCACACTGTCTGTCTGTCTGTCTGTCTCTCTCTGTCTCTCTCAGAAATAAATAAAACATTTTTAAAAATTAAAAAAAAAGAATTTTACCATTCTGGCTTCTACATTTTAGTTTTTGATCCATTTTGACTGTTCTTTGATTCATTTCAGAGATTGAATTGTTTTGGCACCCACGAAAAATCAAGTAACCATGAATGTAAGAGTTTCTTTCTGGAATCTCAAATCTATTCCACTGATCTCTCTGTCATCAAGCTAGTACTAACTACACTGTCTTTGGTAGCTTTGTGGTAAGTTTTACAACCAGGAAGTATAAGCTCTCCAACTTCATTTTTTTCAACATTATTTTGGGTTTCATCGAGTTTTAAAAGTTTAACTAGCATTGCATTCCTAAAATAAGCCCATTTAATTTATTTATTTCAAGTTTATTTATTTTTAATTTTTTAAAATGTTTTTTCATTTTTGAGAGAGAGAGACAGAGACAGATCATGATCAGGGGAGGGGAAGAGAGAGAGGGAGGGAGACACAGAATCCGAAGCAGGCTCCGGGCTCTGAGCTGTCAGCACAGAGCCCGATGCAGGGCTCGAACTCGTGAACTGCTAGATCATGACCTGAGCCAAAGTCGATTGCTCAACCGACTGAGCCACCCCAGTGCCCCTAAAGTTTATTAATTAAATAAATAAAAGTAAAGAGAGAATCACAGGCAGGGACCAAGCTTAATCAGCATGAACCTAACCCAGGGCTCAGTCTCATGAATGGTGCGATCATAATTTGAGCTAAAATCCATTCTGATGCTCAACTGACTGAGCCACCCAGGTGCCTAAAATAATCCCATTTTATTTATTAAAAAATCTTTTTTAATGTTTATTTATTTTTGAGAGAGAGAGACAGAGTGTGAGCAGGGGAGGGTCAGAGAGAGAGGGAGACACAGAATCCAAAGCAGGCTCCAGGCTCTGAGCTGTCAGCACAGAGCCCGATTCAGGGCTCAAACCCATGAACTGTGAGATCACGACCTGAGCTGAAGTTGGCTGCTTAGCCGACTGAGCCACTCAGGCGCCCCTAAATTAAGCCTGTTTTAAATGTCTTAAAATTTTAGGCTTTTAATTTATTCCTGTGTTAGGTTTGTTAATAATGTTGCTTACCCATGAATAAGAGAAAATGACTTGTATATATATTTTTTTGTATTGTGTTTGTCATATCAACGTGGTGTCTCTCCCAATTGAATGGGAGCTCCCAAATGTGGAGCCACAATAGGGTGGGGGCTGTTGGCAAGGGCAGTGAAAGAATTCACCTGAGGCTGAACAAAGTAGATAGAACTTTACTGAATATACTGCAAAGGAGCAGTGGGCAGGATTGCAGAATAGAGATTGTCTGCAGTGAGGCAGTTTTTAATGGAGGAAGGTGAGAATGTATGGGGATGTATGGAATTTTCCTTTTTTTGGTAACTGTGCCTGGATGTAAGTAGTCCATTGGTCATTTAGGACTTATATAAATTTGAGGTGGTGATTTTACTGCTGCTTATCTCAATAGCTTCATCTTCTACCACTCTCTATCTTGGTTCAGCCACACTGGCCTCCTTTCTGTTTCTAAAATTACTCCTTCCTTTCTCAACATAGAGGCTTTCCACTGATCCTGTCTGCCTGGAGTGCTCTTCTCTCAATTTTGAACTTAGTTGGCTCTTTTACCCCCTTCACCTATAGACAAAGCTCATCATAGGAGTGTCCTTACTTGGTCAGCCTACTTGAAGTGGTCATTACTCTCTTAAGTTCCTTCATATTATTTGTACTGTACTGTAATTAATTATCCTATTTATTATTTTTTTAATATTTTTATTTATTTCTAGGAGAGAGAGAGAGAGAGAGAGAGACAGCGTGAGCAGGGGAGGGTCAGAGAGAGAGGGAGTGACAGACTCTGAAACAGGCTCCAGGCTCTGAGCTGGCAGTCAGCACAGAGCCAGAAGAAGGGCTCGAACCCACAAACCGCGAGATCATGACCTAAGCGAAAGTCGGACGCTTAACCGACTAAGCCACCCAGGCGCCCCTATCCTATTTATTTTTAGTCTCCCCTTCAAAAATGTAAGCTTTGTGAGGGTGTGGTCTTTGCTTCTCTGGATTCTGACATGTTTTACATATTTGTTATTAATAAATATTTGTTGAATTGTTAAGATTCTTAAACATTGGATACAGAGGTTGATGATTTTTTTGGGTGGGGCATAAAGTTTTATAAATCTGCAAGTAATTGAGAGAAAGGAAATTTGTTTTGAAGCTAGAGTGATATTCTGTATAAACAGATAAAAATAGAGGTGCCTAGGTGGCTCAGTCGGTTAGGTGACTAACTTCAACTCAGGTCATGATCTCATGGTCTGTGAGTTTGAGCCCCATGTTGGGCTCTCTGCTGACGGCTCGGAGCCTGGAGCCTGCTTTGGATTCTGTGTCTCCCTCTCTCTGTTCCTCCTCTGCTTGCGTTTTCTCTGTCTCTCAAAAATAAATCAAAATGTTAAAAAAAAGTACATAAACAATTTAAATACAAAGTATTGTTAGAGAAGTTTTATAGTTTAGTGACATATGACTTTTTTTTCAGATATATGAAATTTTTATTTATTTTTTTAATAGTTTATTGTCAAATTGGTTTCCATAGAACACCCAGTGTTCATTCCCACAAGTGCCCTCCTTCATGCTCATCACCCACTTTCCCTCCCCCCCACACCCATCAGTCATCAGTTTGTTCTCAGCATTCAAGAGTCTCTCATGGTTTGCCTCCCTCTCTCTCCCCCACTATTTCCCCCCTTCGTCTCCCCCACGATCCCTCATTAAGTTCCTCCTAATCCTCCTATATGTGCAAACATATGGTATCTGTCCTTCTCTGCCTGACTTATTTCGCTTAGCATAACACCCTCAAGGTCCATCCATGTTGCTACACATGGCCAGATTTCATTCTTTCTCATCACCATGTAGTATTCCGTTGTATAGATAAACCACATATTCTTGATCCATTCGTCCATGGATGGACACTTAGGCTCTTTCCATGTTTTGGCTATCGTTGAGAGTGCTGCTATGAACATTGGGGTATCTGTGCCCCTTATGCATCAGCACTCCTGTATCTCTTGGGTAAATTCCTAGCAGTGCTATTGCTGGATCATAGAGGAATTCTATTGTAAATTTTTTGAGGAACCTTCACACGGTTTTCCAGAGGGGCTGCATCCATTTACATTCCCACCCAACAGTGTAGGAGGGTGCCCATTTCTCCACATCCTCGCCAGCATCTAGAGTCCTCTGATTGAAATTTTTATATGGAAAGTTAAAATGACATTTGCGGAAACCCAGTGGTGAGGAAAGTGCTAATCAGGCAGAGTTTATACAGTGGATTCATTTGATTTAAAAGAATTCATTTTAATATTTAAAAATGAATCTCATTTGGTAATGACTTAACATAATTATAAATTTGAAGTTGATGTTTTTGTATTTTATAATTTTTATACCACAGTTTTACCCTAGTCTTAGAAAATTTGGTGTGATATGAAAATGTACATCTGTAAAAGGATTAATTTTAAAAGAATTCCACTTTCTATAGGAAATCATTTCTTATTTTAAAAATTATTTAGGTTTTAGGTGCCAAAGGGGTCATCATTAAGCATCTGACTGCAGTTCAGGTCATGATCTCACCGTTCATGAGTTCCAATCCCTTATAGTGTGAGCTGAAGTCCTGCTTGGGGTGAGCTCGAGCCCTGCTTTGGATGAACCCCACTTTTCTCTCTCTTTCTCTGCCTTAGCTCACTTGTGCTTTCTACCTCAAAAAAAATTATTTAATGTTAAAAAATCTAGTTGATTTATAACTTTTCAGTAAAACATTTATTGCTTAAAACAGAATTATGGTTATATTATGGTTCAGTTTTGAAATAAAGGATGCTGTGTGCCTAGATTGTGTTTTGAGTAACTGCTCTTGGCTTCAGTGCTTTGAATTGTCTTAAGAACTCATTTCGCAAATGTTATTTAACCAATTTATGCCTATATAGATAGTATATCAAGGCTACTGGTCTAAGTACTTTAATATAATTATTTTTGTTTAATTCTCTAATATACTTAGTAATAACCATTTTCCCCACCCCTCCCCTTTTGTGATTTTTTTTTTTTTAGGATCATGGTGCCTAGAGTTCATAAGATAAAGAAGTCTGTTGCACCTCAGAATTCTTGTTTGACAAATGAGTCTTATAAACAATTGGAATTTTTGCCAGACAAACTAAGAGCAAAGCTGCTTCCTTTCCAGAAAGATGGGATTGCTTTTGCCCTCAGAAGAGATGGCAGGTAAAGTACTTTTTTCAAGACAAACTAAAAATAAAGTTCTGGCAAGTTTATATATAAAAAAACAAAGATCTGTGCAAATCATTCTTTTTGTATATACATAGTATTTCCATTTTTTTTTATTGTATCTTGAAATAATAATTTTAGGGTATATTGTATTTTGCCTTCATTCTTGAATGATACTTAAGTTTACAATACAGCTCTATTATTCTTTAAAGTTTATTTATTTTGAGAGAGAGAGCATGTGTGTGTGCACGGAGGAGGAGCAGAGAGAAATCTCAAGCAGGCACTGCACTGTTAGTGCAGAGCCCAACATGGGGCTTCATCTCACCAACTCTGAGATCAATATCTGAGCCGAAATTAAAAGTCGGACACTTAACTGACTAAGCCACCCAGGCTCTCCTAAAGCTCTACTTTAATAGCCATTTTTTTTTCTTAACACTTTGAAGGTTGTATTGTATTGACTTAATGTCTTTCATAGTTGCCATTAATTTTTTTTTGATGCTTTACTTATTTTTGAGAGAGAGAGAGAGACAGACAGACAGACAGAGACAGCCTGAGCAGGGAAGGGTCAGAGAGAGAGGGAGTCACAGACTGAAACAGGCTCCAGGCTCTCAGCTGGCTGTCAGCACAGAGCCCGACACAGGGCTCGAACCCACCAACTATGAGATCATGACCTGAGCCGAAATCAGATGCTTAACTGATTGAGTCACCCACGTGCCACCTTAGTTGCCATTAAAAAGTGTGCTCTTGAGTGTCAAAAATTTACTTTACAGGTGACTTATTGATTACAAAGAGAAAAACTACAAAAAGATCCTTTAATATAGCCAATAGCAGTGTAGCTAAAGGCATAATGTGCTGCATAGGAATTATACAACATTCCTAACTGGTGTTCTTCCCGCAAATTACTGGTCCTTTAATGATGAGGAAACAGTGAAACCAGTTCAGAATGTGAGATTTTTTTTTTTTTTGGACAATTGACCTGAACTTTTCAACTGATACAATAGCATGATAAAACCAAGGGAAGTGATGAGAATGTCCTAAGTTGAGAGAGACCTAAGATGTTTTAAATCTGAAAGTAATCTATAAATGTTGAAAAAATATTTTTTTAACATTTATTCATTTTTGAGAGAGAGAGAGAGAAACAGAGCCTGAGCAGGGGAGGGGCAGAGAAAGAGGGAGACACACAATCTGAGGCAGACTCCAGGCTCTGAGCTGTCAGCACAGAGCTGGACGCGGGGCTCAAACCCATGAACTGCAAGATCATGACGTCAGCTGAAGTCGGAGTCACTGAGCCACCCACGTTCCCCAGTAATACATAAATCTTGATCAGATCCTGGATAAGTAAAATAAGGACATATTTAAGAGGGCATATTTAAGATAAATAGGAAAAATTGATCTGTCTCTATTAGAGTGATGTTATTGAATTAATGTCTATTATCGTGGATGAGGTAATGATGTAGTTGAATAGAATGTTCTTGTTCTTGGAAAATGCATGGTAAGGAATTTGGAATGTAGAATCCTGAGACCAGCCTACTTTCTACATTTTCCCAAAAGGAAAGGACATATGTATGTTTAGAGAGACTCTGAGTCAGCCAAAATGTTAACACTGAATCTGGTGAGTGGTACAAGAGTGTTCACTGTAGTGTTCTTTTTGGCTTTTCTGTCAGTTTGATAATTAAAAAAAAAAAAAAAGAATCAGTCTAATTTTCATTCCTTTTTAGATGAACTGTCTTTTCTGATTAGATCCGATCTTTTCCTATTTCTAATTTTAGGATTCTCTCTTCATCTTTGGAGTTCTGCAGTTTCACTCTAATTTATTCATTCTGGTTTTCTTTTTATATCTCCTCTCTGAGATTATTGTGCATTTTTAATCTGGGATTTGTGTCATGTTGATTCTGGAAAATTCTCAGCTGTTATTTCTTTAAATATTGATTCTCACCCGTTCTGTTTATTTTCTTTTTCTGTAATGTCTATTGGACTTAAACTTAACCTTTTCATTCTATCCTATTTTTCCATTAACATCTCATATATTTTGTGTCTATCTGTGCTACATGATGGCTGCTTTTAAAGATCTTTTTATTAATAAGAGATCATGATTCAGTTATTCTACTCTGTTTAATGTACGTGTTCAGTTTTTATTTTTAATTTTAGTTTTTTATTTTTATCTCATATCTTATTATTTAAATTTTAGTTATTTAACATATAGTACAATATTGGTTTCAGGATAAAATTCAGTGATTCATCACTTACATGTAACATCAAATATTCGTCACAAGTGCCCTGTTTAATACCCATCATCCATCTAGCTCATTTCCTACCCCCCTCCCTCCATCAACCTTTTGTTCATTCTCTATTTTTAAAAAAAAATTTATTTAGGGGCGCCTGGGTAGCTTAGTCGGTTAAGCGTCCGACTTTCACTTAGGTCATGATCTCGTGGTTCGTGGGTTCGGACCCCACGTTGGGCTCTGTGCTGACTGCCAGCTCAGAGCCTGGACCCTGTTTCAGTCTGTGACTCCCTCTCTCTCTGATCCTCCCCTGCTCACACTGTCTCTCTCTCTCTCTCTCTTTCTCTCTCTCCTAGAAATAAATAAAACATTAAAAAAAGATTATTTTAAAAAATTTATTTAATTAATTTTTTAAAAATTACATCCAAGTTAGCATATAGGCAACAATGATTTCAGGAGTAGATTCCTTAATGCTGTTTATTCTCTATTGTTAAGAGTCTCTTGTGGTTTGTTTCCCTCTCTTCCCTCTTTCCCATTTATTCCATTGTTTTATTTTTTAAATTCCACTTACGAGTGAAATCATATAGTATTTGTCTTTCTCTGTTTGGCTTATTTCATTTAGCATCATACATCTTAGCTCCATCCATGTCATTGCACATGACAAGATTTCATTCTTTTTGATGGCTAAGTAATGTTCTAGTGTGTACGCGTGTGTGCGTGAGTTCGTAGACACACACGCGCACATGCACGCATAGATATACATAGCACATTTTTTGTGTATTCATTAGTTGATGGACATTTGGGCTCTCTCCATATTTGACAATTGTTGATACTGCTGCTATAAACATTGAGGTGCATGTACCTTTATGAATCTGTAGTTTTGTATCCTTTGGGTAAACACCTAATAATGCAATTACTGGATCAAAGAATAGTTCTATTTTTAGTTTTCTGAGGAACCTCCACACTGTTCTCCAAAGTTACAGTGCCAGTTTACGTTCCCACCAGCAGTACCAGAGGGTTCCCCTTTCTCCACAGCCTTGCCAACACCTGTTGTTTCTTGTGTTAATTTTAGCTCTTCTGACAGGTGTGAGGTGGTGTCTCATCATGGTTTTGGTTTGTCCCTGATGATGAGTGGTGATTGAGCATCTTTCCATATGTACATTAGCCATCTGGATTTTTTTTTAAATTATTTTTAATGTTTTTTATTTCTGAGAGAGAGAGTGCGTGAGCAGGGGAGGGTCAGAGAGAGAGAGAGAGTGACAGAATCTGAAACAGGCTCCAGGCTCTGGGCTAGCTGTCAGCACAGGGGGCTCAAACCCACGAACTGTAAGATCATGACCTGAGCTGAAGTCGCGCACTTAACTGACTGAGCTACTCAGGTGCCCCTGGATGTCTTCTTTGGATAAGAGTCTATTTGGGTCTTCTGCCCATTTCTTACTTGGGTTATTTGTTTTTTGGGTGTTAAGGTTTATAAGTTCCAAAGTCTATATTTTGGATACTAACACTGTATTAAGATACTTCATTTGCAAATATCTCTCCCATTCTATAATCTACCTTTTAGTTTTGTTTCCTTCACTGTGCAGAAACTTTTTATCTTGATGAAGCACCAATAGTTAATGTTTGCTTTTGTTTCCCTTACCTTTAGTAATGTGTCTAGTAAGAAGTTGGTCCAGCCAAGGTCAAAGAGGTTGCTGTCTGTGTTCTTCTCTATCATCTGTTCAGTTTTTAAATATATATTTTTTAACATTTATTTATTTTTAAGAGAGAGAAAGACATAGTACGAGTGAGGAAGGATCAGAGAGAGAGGGAGACACAGAATTTGAAGCAGGCTCCAGGCTCTGAGCTGTCAGCACCGAGCCCGACGTGGGGCTCAAACTCACTAGAGGTGAGATCATGACCTGAGCCAAAATCAGATACTTAACCGTCCGAGCCACCCAGGCACCCTATCACCTTTTCAGTTTTTAAAGAATCTGTTGAAATGATGTAGAAAATATGTGGGACAAAATATACAGATTGTAAGTATACAGCTTGAAGAATTTTTACAGTATTGCCATCACAAAAAGCAAGAAATAGTATATTACCTGCATCCCAGAAACCTTTCTCCTGCCCCTTCCCAAGCACTACTGCCTCCCTCCTCTCCAAAGGTAACCACTTATCCTGACTTCTCAAACCACAGATTATGTTTAATATGTTCAGCTGTATCATAGTAATCATCTGTATATGCTCTTTTGTGCTTGGCTTCTTTCACTCAACATCATTGTGACATTGTTCCTTATTGTTGCATATGGTTGTTGGTTCATTCATGTTGCCATAAGTAAATACACTGTAATTTTTTTATTCATTCACTGTTGATAAATATTTGAATTGTTACTGGTTTGAGGCTCTTACAAATAATAATGCTATGAACATTCGGATAGAAATCTTTTGGTAAATACATATATACACACAGATATTTCTGTCATCTGTATATAAAGAAGTATAATTGTTGGGTTAAAGCATTTGTGTATATGACAAGTAAAAAACCGTCCCTGTCAGTTTGCCAGGGCTGTCATAATGAAATACCACAACTGGGTGTCTTAAACAACAGAATTTATTGTCTCACATTTCTGTAATCTAGAAGTCCAGAATCAAGGTGGTAAGAGTCGATTCCCTTTTAGGGTTGTGAGGGAAGGTTCTGTTCCAGGTCTCTCTTCTTGGTTTGTAGATGATTTTGTCTTCTTTTCATGTCATCCTCTCCCTATTGGTGTCTATTCCCTTTCTTTAAGGACATGAGTC